GAGTGACTGAGTGACTCTGAAAGACACACTGAATCAGATCGATTTAATTGACATTTATAGACATTTACCTCAAAGCTGCTGAATATACATTCTCTAGTGCACATTGGTCATTCAAAAAGATAGACTACATGTTAGGACACAAAACAAATCTCTGCAAGTTCAAGAAAATTGAAATAATATCAAGCATCTTCTCGGATCACAATGGGATGAAATTAAATACTACAGTAAAAACACTCAAACACACGGAGGCTAAATAGGATGTCATTAAGCAATGAATAGCTTACCACTGAAATACAAAACTTCCTGGAAACAAATTAAAATGAGCACACAACAACCCCAAGTCTCTGGGACACAGAAAAAGCAGCTCTGAGGGAATTTCATAGCCCTACAGGCTTACCTGAAGAAAACAAGAATAATTACTAATAAGCAATTTAATCCTGTAACTTAAACAATTAGAACAACAAGACAAGAGTAAGTAGAAAGAAGAAATTTTTTTAAAAAAAGAATAAATATTAGAGAAATAACATGGAGACCTAAAAAAAAAAAGAAGAAAAATCAATGAAACCAAGAGCTGGTTCTTTGAAAAGATAGACAAGATTGATGAATCCTTAGCCAGACTCATCAAAAAACAGATAGGACCCCCAAAAATAAAATCAGAAATGAAAGTGGAGAAGTAACAGCTGACAGCACAGAACTACAAAGCATAAGAAAATACTTCGAACAACTATATGCGAACCAGCTGGACAATGTGGATGAAGTGGACAAATTCCTAGAAAAATACAACCTCCTAAAACTGAATCAGGAAGAATCAGAAAACCTGAACAGACCAAAAACAACTGAAGAAGTCGAAGCAGTAAATTTAAAACAACCCACCAGCAACCAAACACCCTGATTTGATCGCTTCACAGGGGAGTTTTACCAAACATTCAAAGAAGAACTAACACCTACCCTCCTCAATCTATTCCAAAAAAATCCAAGAAGAGGAAACACTTCCAAGCTCTTTTTATGAGGCCAGCATTATCTTCATTCCAAAACCAGGTAAAGACTACAAAGAGAGAGATTTACAGGTCAATATCCTTGATTGACTTAAATGCTAAAATCCTCAACAAAAGATTAGCAAATTGGATCCAGCAATATATTAAAAAGATCATACACCATGACCAAGTTGGATTTATTCCAGGGATGCAAGGTTGATACAATATTCACATATCAATAAATGCGATACATCACATAAACAAATTGAAAGACACAATCTCCTCATTATGTCAATAGATGCAGCAAAAGCATTCAGTAAAATCCAACACCCATTTTTTAATAAAAACTCAGGAAAATGGGAATTGAAGGAGCATATCTCAACATGATAAAGGCCATATATGACAAACATACAGTTAATATTATATTCTATTGGCAGAAACTAAATCCATTTACCCTAAGAACAGGAACAAGACAGGAATATTCGTTTTTAACACTCCTATTCAACATAGTACTAGAAATCCTAGCCACAGTGATCAGACAAGAAGAAATAAAAGGCATCCAAATGGGAAAGGAGGCAGTAAAACTAATTATTTGCCAATGACAGGATATTGTACATAAAATACCCTAAAGACTCCACCCAAAAACTACTAGATTTAATAAATAGATTCACCATTGTAGCAGTTTCAAAATCAACCACCAAAAATCGATGGCATTTTTATACAACAATAATGAATCCTCAGAACGTACACAAACAATCCCATTTACTATTACAACAAACATACTTAGGAAAAAATTTAAGGAGATGATAAAAGACTTGTACTCGGAAAACTACAGGACATTGGAAAAAAAGATAAAGGAAGAAGTAAACAAGTGGAAGAATATTCCGTGATACACCATGTTCTTGGATTAGTAAAATTAACGTCATTTAAATGTCCATACTATCCAAGGCAATCTACAGATTGAATACAATCCCCATTAAAATACCAACACCATATTTCACAGATCTAGGACAAGTAGTCCAAAAATTTATATGGAACCAAAAATGACCCTTAATATCCCCAGCAATCTTTTTTAATGAATTTATTTTTAATCCTACCCCTTAGGATGTTTCTCCATTTTTTTTATTTTATTTTTTATTACAAAGGGTATTACATATGTGTCCATTTTTTTCCCCCGCCCTAGACAGTCCCCTAGCCTCCCCTATTCCCCAGTGTCTTATGTCCATTGGTTATGCCCATATGCATGCATACAAGTCCTCAGAAATATTGATGTGAGAGAAACACATCAACTGCTTTCCTCTGCATGAGCCCTCATAAGGGCTCTGGTTGGGGAGGAGTCAGCAGCTGAGGTACATGCCCTTGACTGGAATCTAACTGGGGACCCTTTGGTCCATAGGTTGATGCTCTATCCGATGAGCCAAACAGGCTAGGGCATCCCCAGTAGTCTTGAGAAAGAAGAACAAAGTTGGAGGGATCACAGTGGCAGATATCAAGTTGTAGTACAAAGCCACCAATAATCAAACAACCTGGTACTGGCACAAGAATAGGCATATAGATCAATAGAATGCAATGGAGACCCCAGAAATTGACCCAAGCCATTATGCTCAATATTTAACAAAGGAGGCAAGAGCATACAATGGAGTCAAGACAGTCTCTTCAATAAATGATGTTGGGAAAGTTGGACAGATACATGCAAAAAAAATGAAAGTAGGCCTCCAAATTATTCCAAATACAAGAATAAACTAAAAGTGGATAAAAACTTAAATGTAAGTTGTGGAACCATAAAAATCCTAGGAGAAACCATAGACAGCAAAATTTCAGACATTTCTCGTAGCAATATGTTTACGAATATATATCGTAGGGCAAAGGACACTAAGGAGAAAACAAATCAGACAATATCAAAAGCTGCTGCACAGCAAAATAAACCACAAAATGAAAAGGGAGACCACTGTATAGGAGAACATATTTGGCAATGATACATCTGATAAAGGGTTAATATCCAAAATATATAAGCAACTCATACAACTGAACAAAAGGAAGACAAAAAAAATCCAATTATAAAATGGGCAAAAGATCTAAATAGACACTTCTCCAAAGTGGACATACAGATCGCCAAGAGACATATGGAAACAATGCTGAAAGTCATTGATCATCAGAAAGATGCAAATGAAAATGACAATGAGGTATTACCTCACACCTGTCAGAATGCCTACCATCAAGTCAACACATGACAAGTGCTGGCAAGGATGTGGAGAAAAGGGGACCCTCGTACACTGCTGGTGGGAGTGCAGACAGGTACAGCATTGTGGAAGACAGTATGAGGTTTATTCAAAAACTTAAATATGGAACTGCCTCTTAACTCAGTGCTACCACTTATTAGGAAGTATGGATTAAAAAGCCATGTTACATTTACACAATGGAATACTACACGGCTGTAAAAAAAAAAAAAAAGAAGGAAATCTTACCTTTTGAGACAGCATGGAGGGACCTGGAGAATAATGTTAAGTGAAATAAGCCAGTCAGAGAAAGACAAGTATCACATGATCTCACTCATGTGGAATCTAATGAACAAAATAAATGGATGAACAGAATAGATCCCAGTATAAAGAAGCATGGAACAGACTGTGGAACCTTAGATGGCATGGAGGATAGGGTGTGTGGCAAGTCATCAACCAAAAATGTATACATAACCCATGGACACAGACAATAGGGTGGTAAAGGCCTGGGTCGGGGGGTGGGAGTGGGTTAGAAGGGGTCAATGGTGGGAAAAGGGGGACATAAGTAATAGTTTCAACAAAGATTTTAAAAAAGAGAGACTACAAATACATCATTTCACCAGACTGTGTGCATTATATAGCAGTGAGAAAATGAACTAGAACAACATGGAATGTCAACACATGTCAGAATGAATTTTGAGCCAAAAAATGGCAGAAAGATACGTACAGTATGGTGGTTTTTCTTATGAAATTTACAGTGCTGGTATTTCTTATGGATATGTTTACATGTACACATAATGTTAGCACAAAAATACTTATAGGTATGATAAATACCAAATGTAGGATAATGGTCACTTCTGGGGAAGGAAGGGAAGTATGCAGTCATCAGGTCGTTCCTGTTATGTTTATTAAATCTAAATCAATTAAGGATAACTATTAAGGTTACCTTATTTCCTATACCTTTTATATGTTTTTAAACACTTCATAATGTTTTTAAAAAGAATGGCAAGAAATAAAGATTTAAAGGTAAAAGTTTTTAGGGATAAATGGAGAAGTGGGCCTGAGTTAGCGTGAGTGTGGGAACATTGCCAGCCGCAGAGACACTCATTGCTGTTTGTTTCCTTGCAGTCTGGAGGGGCGATTTGAGGACGAGGAGCTGCAGCAGATCCTCGATGACATCCAGACCAAGCGCAGCTTCCAGTATTAACCTCCAGCTTCACTGCTGCTGAGGGAGCCTCAGCGTGGCACCAGTCTCCCGGGACCTGAAACTCTATCCCAGAAGACACTGGGGCCACTGGGGACAGCAACTCCGCTGGGTCTTGGTTTGGGTTGCTGTTTCAGACTTGGCTGTTAGATCTTTGACGACCACAGATTCTTTTTTTTTTAAATATATTTTAATTGATTTTTTACAGAGAGGAAGGGAGAGGGACAGAGAGCCAGAAACATCGATGAGAGAGAAACACCGATCAGCCGCCTCCCGCACATCTCCCACTGGGGATGTGCCCACAACCCAGGCACACACCCTTTGACCGGAATCGAACCGGGACCCCTCAGTCCGCAGGCCGACGCCCCATCCACTGAGCCAAACTGGTTTCAGCGACGACCACGGATTCTTGGAGAGGCCTTCCGGTGGCTGCTTGCTGGCTTCCTGAGCTCACCTCTGGAGCGGGTGAGGTGGGGTGATGTGCATATAAACTATGCTGTTGAATACCTCATACCATGGATTTGGCCCCCTGTGTTATTTTTTATTCCTTATATTTCATGTTTTGATTTCAATGTGTTTATAAGTTTTGAAACTATAGTAGAACATATAAAACCGGAATGGTAAACAACAGTTTTATTTAAATGCACAAGGAAGAATTAAGCCAGACCTATATCAGTGTTTGAAATTCTTGAAGATAGGATGGTGGTGTTGATTAACAGAGAGAGCCTTGACATTGTGCTTAACCAGGAGACAGGAGGAAGTTCACTGTGGAAAGCAGTTTCATCGGAGGATCACTGTGCTGAGTAAGTGGAGCCTGTAGCTTTGAGGTAGAGGGCACGTGGCCTTTTTCCTTGCACTGTTGCAGAATGTAGTTTTGGAGTAAGTGATCCTAATGTACTCAACTTGTCACTCCCAAACTAAGATTTTTTTTTCTTCATGCCATACATCAAGGTTTCAACACTTGGTTTTTGTTTATTTTTTTTAATCCTCACCTGAGGATATTTTTCCACTGATTTTCAGAAAGAGGGAAAGACAAGAAATATTGAGGTGAGAGAAACACATAGATTGGTTGCCTCCTGCACGTGCCCTGACCAGGGCCTGGGCCGGGGAATATCCTGCAACCGATGTACATGCCCTTGATGGAATCGAACCTGGGACCCTTTGGTCCATAGGCCAACGCTCTATCCACTGAGCAAAACCAGCTAGGGCAACACTTTGAAATTTCCTTGTATATGGCATCCCATCCAAAACACTGGCTGGGTTCTTGGCCACAGGTGTTTCCTAATGGGGTGTTCTGAACGGATGGAGTCTGCCTCCTCCTGAAACACTACAGTGAAACATTTTTAAGACCTAAATATGTTAGCTTTGATTTTTATGAAGGGAAATATGCCTGTTTTCTTCACAATTTGGGATTTTCTTGTTGCCTCCAAGTGAATTCATGATTCAAGAAAGAGGTTGAGTTCCTAGCAGGTTTGTCTCAGTGGATAGAGTGTTGGCATGCGGACTGAAGGGTCCCGGGTTTGATTCCAGTCAAGTGAACATAGAAACATCTATGATTCGACACTTTAATAGATGTTTCTATCTCTCCCTTTCTCTTCCTCTCTGAAGTCAATAAAAACGTATTTTTTAAAAAAGAGTTTGAGGAAAGAACAAAGTTGGCTTTAAAGGTCAAGATAGTTTTATATTAGCTGCTGATTAAGACAAAAATAAAATGTTTTTATTTTTATAAATTCTTAAATGACATGGTTTTGTCACCAGTATTCTTATTAATATTTAAAGGAAATGATAGCCTGGCTGGTGTGGTTGAGTGGATTGAGTGTCATCCCATGCACTACGGGGTTGCTGGTGGGTTCTCAGTAGGAGGGGGTATGCAGGAGGTGGCTGATTGATGTTTCTCTCATTGATGTTTCTATCTCTCCTTTCTCTCTAAAAGCAAAAAATATATATTCAAGAAGAAAATGACAATTACTCTTCAATTTATAAAAGTTGAAGTAATGTTTTCATCTTTAGACAACTTCACTTCTTTTAGCTCACCCGTGTTCTCAGTTGTGAAATGTGGAAAATAGTATCTTTTTGCACTATAATTTTGAGAAGATCAAATGAGAAAATATTAAAAGCAGCCCGTTAATATCTGACACACATTTGTGTGTGTGTGTGTGTGTATAAATATGTATATGTATATTTTAAATATATTTTATTGATTTTTTACAGGGAGGAAGGGAGAGAAATAGAAATATCAATGAGAGAGAAACATTGATTAGCTGCCTCTTGCACACTCCCTACTGGGGATGTGCCTACAACCACAGTACATGCCCTCGGCCGGAATCGAACCTGGGACCCTTGAGACTGAAGGCTGACGCTCTATCCACTGAGCAAAACCGGTTAGGGCAGTATCTGACATATAATATGTCCCAGTAAATGTTAGCTATTGTTATGCTCAGTAGATGAACAGGAATAAGTGATAAATCAGCTTGCTTCATAGAAAGTAGTGCAAGAATTTGGTAGCATATCAACTGGTACTGGTATCATACTAGGAAACCAAACCAAGTTGCTTATTCCTAAAAATCTCCAGAATTACCTTTTAAGAGACAGTTACATGAGCAGGTTGGCACCACGCTGTGGAATAGAACAGACATGTAGAGTGCACTTGAGTCATAGCCCAGGTGCCTGTTCTCTCTGGCGACAACAGTGCAGGGCCATCACCTTCACTGGTGCCCACTTACTTAGTCTCTGAGCTGCATGAAGGTAGGACAGGATGAAAAGTGCATGGCATATCGTTAGGCACTAATTAATTGTAGTAAGATAACTAGAAGCAGGTTTTTAAAATATACTAGGGAGTTTCTTATAAAAGCCACCTCATGCTATGTTCTGTATTCAAAACCCAGGGAACACATTCTTCTGGGCATTGTTCTCTACAGTCCCAGCAGGAGCTCTCTGTTTGGTTATCAGGAGACCCTGCAAAATGTTTAATCATCTCTGAAACATTGTTAGGCTTATTCTGTACTATGTTTGCAAAAGCAGAATTCGGGGATACATTGAAACAAAACAAATAGATATCATGTTGTCTAGCTCTCACTTCACCAGAAAACTACCAGAACAACCTTTTCTGAAAATTCTAGTCATTCTGTTTTATTGAAATTTATTTATTTATTTTATATATATATTTTTTAAAGGTATATTTTATTGATTTTTTTACAGAGAAGAAGGGAGAGGGATAGAGAATTAGAAACATCGATGAGAGAGATTGATCAGTTGCCTCCTGCACGCCTCCCAGTGGGGATGTGCCCGCAACCAAGATACATGCCCTTGACCGGAATTGAAACCGGGACCCTTCAGGCCGCAGTCCGACGCTCTATCCACTGAGCCAAACCGGTTCAGCTTATTGAAATTTATTAAACTTGAGGCTTGAAAATAGCATTACTGGATGGGGCCTGACCACAACCCATTTTTTAAAAACATTAATGTTTTAAGCTTATAAAACCATTGAACCCTACACATAAAGAAGTGTATGTGAGTAATCAATGTGGTATTAGTCATAATGGCCAAACAGTCCAAATGCCCACAGGCTGCTCAATAGATAAACGAAATGTGATATATATTTTTCAACTTTCCATTATGGAAAATTTTAGACATACAGAAAAGCTGAAAGACTATAACATTGATCACCTATATGTTCATCACCTACATTTAACATAACATTTGTAATATTTGCTTTCTAATATATTTTAGCTATAAAGCATTTGAAAGCAGATAGGTGCCACTTCATTGAAATAGTTAAGCATGTGCTTTTCAGAATTGGCTTTCAGTATTGGACTTCAGAACATGGACAAGAATTTTCTGATATTGAATATTTAGTTCATATTCAAATTTCACCTGGGGATAGTTTGGGGCCAATGATCACCCATGTTGATATAATTTAGTTTTTTTTTTTTTTTAACATTTTTTTAAAATATATTTTTATTGATTTTTTACAGAGAGGAAGGGAGAGAGATAGAGAGTTAGAAACATCGATGAGAGAGAGCCATCGATCAGCTGCCTCCTGCACATCTCCCACTGGGGATGTGCCCGCAACCCAGGTACATGCCCTTGACCGGAATCGAACCTGGGACCCCTCAGTCTGCAGGCCGACGCTCTATCCACTGAGCCAAACCGGTTTCGGCTATAATTTAGTTTTATATACAAGCAATTATCACACTAATGATGTAAAATGACATTTTACTTGTGAAAAATATTGAAGAAATACATGTGGTTACTGCCCTCACGTTGCTGTAAGGAGCTCTGACTGGACAAAAAATACATATATGCAACCCCATGATGAAAAAATGAGCCCAGATAAGTTGACCTTGATCACTAATGTGTCTGCATGTGGCTCTGGGTCTCTCTCCATCATCAGTGGGAGAGTAGTTTGGGACTCAACAGGCAGAATGGGTGCATGGTGACAGCTGCTGTATGTCACCAAACATGGACTAACATTCAGACTTAAGTTTGTGTGCCTCATTTCCCTGTGCATGGTACTTGTTAGTAAATGTTGAGGAAAAACACAGTCCCATTTTCAGAAAGGTCAGTGTGGAGCTGCAGGGAGACTAAGGATGTATCTGAAATAATAAAATTGGAGGAGAGGACTCGTTAGAGAGGGTTGAGGTGGTGAGAAACAGCCTGAAGATATTTTGAAAGACAAAAAGTTGCCAACATAATCTTTTGTAAGGGACAAATATTCTGTGTACTATTCACTAGGGTAGCTGTTAGCCACATATAACTGCTGGACACTCAAGGGTAGTATGACAGGATCTAATTAAAAATTTTTTTTTAATATATTGTATTGTTTTTGTACAGAGAGGAAGGGAGAAGGATAGAGATTTAGAAACATCAATGAGAGAGGAACATCGATCAGCTGCCTCCTGCACACCTCCTATTAGGGATATGCCCGCAACCAAGGTACATGCCCTTGACTAGAATTGAACCTGGGATCCTTCAGTCCGCAGGCCGATGCTCCACCCACTGAGCCAAACAGGCTAGGGCTGATGTAAATTTTTTTAAATTTATTAAATCTTTATTGTTCAGATTATTACATTGTTCCTCTTTTTTCCCCCCATAACTCCTCTCCACCCAGTTCCCACCCCACCTTCCGCTCTCACTCCCCACCCACTGTCCTCATCCATAGGTGTAA